TTGCATTTTTAAGCTTCATTTAAACTTATTTCTAATTGAATTTAAATTAAATTTTAATTTAATTTAATCAATTTAATTAATTTAATTTAATTAATTAAATTTAATTAATTTATTTTTATTTATTTTTATTTATTTTTATTTATTTCATTTTTGTCATTTCAGGGCATAGCGCGTCGAGGCTATTATGGCGCTTTTTTGCTCGAAGAGCCAGACCTCATTTTGTACTTTTATTTTATTTATTTTATTTATTTATTTTATTTTATTTATTTATTTTATTTATTTTATTTGTTTTATTTATTTTATTTATATTAGTTTAATTTAATTTAATTTAATTTAATTTAAGTTAATTTGATTTGATTTAATCTAATTTACTTTGATTTAATTTAATGTGATTTAATTTAATGCGATATAGTTTAATTTAGTTTGATTTGGTTTGATTTTATTTTATTTTTCTAATTTTACTTTTTTTATTTATTCTAATTTGATTTAATTTAATTTAATTTAATTTAATTTAATTTAATTTAATTTGTTTTTTTGAATCCATTTGATTAACTTGATTTAATTTGGTTATTTTGTTTGTTTTTGTCTATTTAATTTGTTTTAATCTTTTTATTTCCTTTTGTCTTTTTTAATTTTCCTTCATCTTTTTATTAATATCTTTTTATATCTTTTTATTTCTTTTAGTATTTCTTATCTCTTTTAATTTTCTTTTTTATTTGTTTTAATCTTCACTTTTATTTCTTTTAATTTATTTAATTTCTTTTATTTTTTTGAATATCTTTTAATTTCTTTTTCTGTTTTTTTCTGCTCCATTTTCTGTCTCTTCTCCATCCTTTTGTTTTTTTATTTATTTGCATTTCTTTATTTTTATTTGTTTTTATTTATCTTTATTTGCTTTTATTTTTATTTATTTTTGTTTCTTTTTAGTTATTTTTATTTCTTTTATTTTTTTTTCCTTTCCTCCTTCTCTTTCTCTCTGTTTGCCTCCTTATGGATATTCTCTTTTTCTTTTATCTGCTTTGCGTCCCCTGCTGTTTAGGGTTTAGGGTTTAGGGTTTAGGGTTTAGGGTTTTAGGCATGAGGCTTTAGGCCATAGGATTCAGTCTTGACTGCCCCCGCTTCCGGGCCCAGGGTTTAGGGTTTAGAGCTTCACACTTGAGGTTTAGGGTTTAGGGTTTAGGGTTTAGGGTTTAGGGTTTAGGGTTTAGGGTTTAGGGTTTAGGGTTTGTATTTAGGGTTTAGGGTTTAGGGTTTAGGGTTTAGGGTTTAGGGTTTAGGGTTTAGGGTTTAGGGTTTGTGCAGGTCTATGGTTTCCGCAATGCACCAGCAACTCTCCATTCCAGTGACTTGCAAAATTCGCAAAGTGCTGACGGCCCCAGACAGCACAGCTTGTCAGTCCCAAACCCTAAACCCTAAACCCTAAACCCTAAACCCTAAACCCTAGGTCCTTGGCTGCGCGCAGCAGCAGCTAAACCCTGGGCGAAGTTCTCAAAGTTTCATTTCTTTTATTTCTTTTAATATCTTTTATTTCTTTTATTTCTTTTTATTCCTTTTATTTCTTTTGTTTCTTTATTTCTTTTTTTATTTCTTTTACTTCTTTTATTTCTTTTATACTTGTCCCCTTTTATTTCTTTTTCTAATTTGCAAATAAGCTGCTGCGGCTTTTTTGCTGCAGACGACGGCCTGCGCGCCTCTGCTGCTGCTGTCTTATGCTTTGGAAGCAGCAGGTGCTGCTGCTGTTACTTTGCATGCAAGAACAAAAGCAGAAAAAGGAAGAGACACAGCAGCAGCAGACTGGGGACTCATTCGCAGGGTCAAACAAAGAATCAACATTCCTGGTGCTGCTGCTGCTGCTGCTGCTGCTGCTGCTGCTGTTGCTGCTGCTGCTGCTGCTGCTGCTGTTGCTGCTGCTGCTGCTGCTGCTGGCTTTGCCGCGGCTGTTGTTGCTGCTGTTGCTGCTGCTGCTGCTGCTACCTTTGCTGTTGGTGTTGGCTTTGCTGCTGCTGTTCCTGCGCCTGCTTTCTCTGCTGCTGCTGCTATTCCTGCTGCTCTTTTCTCTGCTGCTGCTGCTGTGTCTGCTGCTGCTGCCTTTGCTGCTGCTGCTGCTGCTCATTCATCCTGTGTCGGTTTGCTGCTGCGCTTTTGCTTCAGTAATTGCTAACGGAGGAGTGGAGACAAAAGAAGATGCAGTCCGGTGTCTCAAAGTGACAGGGTAAGGCTGCATTTGCTGCTGCTGCTGCTGCTGCTGCTGCTGCTGCTGCTGCTGCTGCTGCTGTCACCACTGCTGCAGCTGCGCTTGCTGGCACCCCTGTTGCTGTTGCTGCTGCTGCTAACACAACCACCACTGCTTTCGGAGCGTATGCCGAGACAGCCGCAGCAGCAGCAGCAGCCGCAGCAGCAGCAGCAGCAGCAGCAGCAGCAGCAGCAGCTGTGTCTGTGTGGGTGTTTTTTGGCTTTTGTGTCTTTAATTGTCCCTTTTGTTTTTAAATTCCCTTTTCTTTTTGCTGCTGGTGTCTCTTTTGTTTGCAGAGCAGACGCAGTAATGGCTGCTGAGGGCCTTCTAGACAATCCCGCTTTGTTTGCTGGTGCTGCTGCTGCGCTGCAGCAGCAGCTGCTGCAGCAGCTGGCCCCCCCCTGGCAGCCCCCGGCGGTGCGCCTGGGGGTTCTCGCGGAAGCAGACCTCTCCCCGCCCCCCAGCAGCAGCAGCAGCAGCAGCAGCAGCAGCAGCAGCGGCAGCAGCAGCAGCAGCAGCAGCAGCAGCAGGTGTGGGGTGTCTGCGTGGCAGCGGGTGTGTCTGATGAAAAGATACCTGGACATCTGCGGTGTATATACACCTCCCCACAGTGGCTGCGCAAAGGCCCACTTGTTCAGGTGTCTCCATCCCATTCTTGCAGCAGCACCGAACTGGAGAGACACACTCCACCAGGTGCTGCTGCTGCTGCTGCTGCTGCTGCTGCTGCTGCTGCTGCCGCTGCTGCTGCTGCGGCTGCTGCCGATGCTGCAGCTGCTGTTGCGGCTGCTGCCGATGCTGCTGCTGCAGCTGCTGCCGATGCTGCTGCTGCGGCTGCTGTTGCGGCTGCTGCCGATGCTGCTGCTGATGCTGCTGCTGCGGCTGCTGTTGCGGCTGCTGCTGATGCTGCTGATGCTGCTGCTGCTGATGATGATGGTGGGGCTGTTCCTGCTGCGGTTCTTGCTGCTGCTGCTGGTCTTGCTGCTGCTGCTGGTCTTGCTGCTGCTGCTCTCTCTGATGGCGGGGATGTTGCAGATAATGCTGTTACTACTGCTGCTACTGCTGCTGCTTTTATCTTTGCTGCTGCTACAGTTGCTGCTGCTCGTGCTGCCGGCACTGACGTGGCTGCTGCTGCAGTTGCTGCAGCAGCTGATTACGTGTTTCGTGCTGCAGTTGCTGCTGCAGCCGTTGCTGCGCTTGCTGCTGCTACTGCTGCTGCTGCTGAGGGTCACAGGCGAGATGGCGCAGCAGTGGCAGCAATAGCAGCAGCTGCTGCTGCTGCAGCGTGAGACCTCGAGACAACTTTTGCTGCTGCTGCTGCTGCTGCTGCTGCTGCGTGTTTGCTGCAGAGCAGCTGCATGGAGGACCTTCGAGCGCTGATGGACTGCATATACAACCACTTTGCTGCTGCCAGCAGCAGCAGCAGCAGCAGCATCAGCGGCAGCAGCAGCAGCAGCAGCAACACGTGGTACCGCCGCCACAGAAGGGGGGCAGCAAAGGACGAAGACACAGAAGAAGCCACAGACAAAGAAGCAGCAGCAGCAGCAGCAGCAGATCCTTGTTCTCTAGCTGCCGAAGGATTTGAAGGCTTGTTTGGCTAGCTAGCTACCCCCACCGCAGCTAGCTAGCCAGGGTAGCTAGCCGCAGCAGTTAGCAGCAGCAAGCTGCAGTTAGCTGCAGCAGCTACAGCAGCTAGCTGCAGCAGCAGCAGCAGCAGCTAGCTGCGGCTAGTTGAGGGCACCTCTAGGACCCAGGCGCAGCAGCGCCCACAGCGCAGCAGTTTGCTGCAGTGGCTAGCTGCAGTAGCTAGCCACAGCAGCTGGCTAGTTGCTGTAGCTAGCCACAGCAGCTGGCTAGCTGCAGTAGCTAGCCACAGCAGCTGGCTAGCTGCAGTAGCTAGCCACAAGTGGCTATATTGGGGGCCCCAATAGGGGCCCCCAGGGCCCCCTGGGTGGTCTTTCTGGGCCCCAAGTGGGCACTGGGGGCCCCTAATGGCTTTTCCGCCTCAGGAGGGTCCCTGGGGGCCCCTCTGGGGGGCCGCCAGGGAGTGGGGGGCCCCTGAGGGGCCTCTAGGGGGCCCCTTAGGGGCCCCCCATGGGCTCGCGGCCCCCTGGGGGCCTTTTAGGGGGCCCCCTAGGGGCCCCCAAGGGACTGGGAGGCCCGTGGGGGGCCCCCAGGGGGCCCCCGGGGAGTGTACAGGGGGGCCCCCGGGCCACTTGGGGCCCCCTATTGGGTTTGGGGGCCCCCTGGGGGCCCCCCGTAGGCCTATTGACTGGGCTGGGTCTTTATGGGGAGACAAAAGGACAAAGTGGAAAATAAAATAAATTAAATGCCAAATAAATGAAAAATAAAACCAATTAAAAGCCAAACAAAATAAAAATAAAATGAATTAAACTTCAAATCATTTGAAAAAAGAATTAGAGAGTGCTGCAGGTGTCTGCAGTGTCCCGGGGGCTGCAGCTAGCTGCTGCGTGCTGTTGGCTGCAGCTAGCTGCAGCAGCTAGCTGCTGCAGCTAGCTGCTGCGTGCTGTTGGCTGCAGCTAGCTGCTGCAGCTAGCTGCTGCTGATGGCTAAGCAGCGTTAGCTCAGCTAAGCCTGTCCAGAAGCAAATAGCTGCGCTTGGCAGCAGCAGCTAGCCGTGGCTAGCTGCAGCAGCGGGCAGCAGCAGCTAGGAGCAGCAGCAGCAGCAGCAGCAGCAGCTAGCTGTGGCTAGCTGCGGCTAGCTGCAGCTAGCCACCGTGTGTCCTCCGGCAAGTACCAATTAGATGCGAGTATATATAAACATTTATATTTAATTTAATTAATTTTTAATTAAATAAATTAAATATAAATGCATTTATTAAATGCATTTAAAGCATATTTATATTTCTAAAAAGATTTTGTTTTTGATAACATTATTTCTAAGTCCACAGTTGCATTTCTGCGGCTTGTAGGGTTTCAGAGGCGAAGCAGCAAAAGTAGAATAAGTGTAGAGCTCAAGTCTGAGGGTTTAGGGTTCAGAAATTAGGGTTTAGGGTTTAGGGTTTAGGGTTTGGGGCCCCGGGGGGAGGCTGCAGGCGGCCCAGTCGAAGGAAAGAGCGTGAAAGACAAGGGTTTAGCGCGGGAGGTTAAAAAGAGGGTTTTGGAGCTCAAGGGTTTGGGTCTGTCACAGCTAGGGTTTAGGGTTTAGGGTTTAGGGTTTAGGGTTTGGCGGCCCGGAGCTGGAGGCGCGGCCCGGGCTCAGGGCTTGTTATCTGCGGCTGGATTAAAATTTTCTAATTAGGAGGGAGTACAGAGCGGGAGGGTTTGCGCTGCTGCTGCTGCTGCTGCTGCTGCTGCTGCAGCTGCTGCTGCTGCTGCTGGGAGGCCTCCGTCTGGGGCTGCGAGCGCATGCAGCGGATCTGCGTGTTTCTGCTTTCCTTTTGGATTTCTCCAAAGCATTTCATAAAAATAAATTAAATAAATATATTTTGTGAGCTTTCATCGCGCATTTAACCTCCCCAGGGTCACCTGCCTGCGGCGCCGCTGGGGTGTACGTACACCTGAGCCCTCAACTCAGCTGTACGTGCACCCCTCCCCTCCCCTTTTCTAAACCCTCGGGGGGCCCCTCTTTGTCTAGAGGGGCCCCCGTTCATTTCGCATGCAGAGGGCCCCCTGCTGCTGCAGTTGGGGCCCACTAGGCCTCTTAGGCGGGGGCCGCAGCAGCAGCGGCGGCAGCCGCAGCAGCAGCAGCAGCAGCAGCAGCCGCAGCAGCAGCAGCGGCGGCTGTTTCTTTAGTGTTTGCGCTCCTCTTTGAGAGCTGCGGACTTCTCTTTGTTTCTCTTTTGTTTGTTTTTTGTTTCGGACTTTTCTTGTTTTTGTTTTTGCTTCTTTTATTCCATTATTCCACTTTTATTTTTTAGATTTTCCTGCAGCGTCCATGGGGGCCCCCCGAGTGCAGTCTGAGGGGGCCCCCCCCGAAGCTGCTGCTGCTGCTGCTCTGGAGGGGCCCCCGTCGGGCTCCGGCGCAGCAGCAGCAGCAGCAGCAGCAGCCCCCGCAGCAGCAGCAGCAGCAGCAGCAGATGCCGCAGCAGAAGCAGCAGCAGCGGCGGGGGCTGCACCCGCAGCGCCGGAAGCAGCAGCAGATGTTTGCGCTGCTGCAGAGCCAGCCGCCGGCCCCGCCCCCGCAGCAGCAGCAGCAGCAGCAGCAGCAGCAGCAGCAGCGGGCGAGCGCGAAGGCGTGCTGCTGGAGTCCTCCTCGCCGCCGAGCCCCGCTGCTGCCGCCGCTGCTGCTGCTGCTGCTGCTGCTGCTGCTGCGCCGAGCTCGCCAGGTGTACAGACACTCGCGGATGTGTGGGGTGTCTGGACATCTGCTGATGCTGCTGCTGTTGCTGACTGGCTGCAGCGCGAGCAGCTCGCTGGGGTGTACAGACTCCTCGTCGAGTCCCTCCTCACTCCCACCCCCAAGGCCAACGCAGGTAAACTGCTGCTGCTGCTGCTGCTGCTGCTGCTGCTGCTGCTGCTGCTGCTGCTGCGCTCCTCCTGCCGCCGCTCCTGCTGCTGCTTCTGCCTCTCCTGCCGCCGCTCCTGCTGCTGCTGCTGCTGCTGCTGCTGCATTGCTGCTGCAGCTGCCGTTTTTGCTGCAGCGCAGCTCCCGGCTTCGTTTTTGCTGCTGCGGCCTCCTCTCCCGCTGCTGCTGCTGCTGCTGCTGCTGCTGCTGCTGCAGGCTCCCGCCTAACCTCGCTGGCCTCCCGCGCTGCGCAGCTGCCAGCAGTTCCCGGAGTTGTTTATGACGCGCACCACTACCAGTTCCTCGCCCGCTTCTACGAGAGCAGCAGCAGCAGCAGCCCCACCACCAAGCGCTTCCCGCTGCGCCGCTGGGGCTTCCACAAGAGCTTCCGCTTCGCCTGCGACGCAGTGCAGCAGGCCCACAGGCCGGGGGCCTTTGCTGCTGGAGAGATTCAGGCCGTCGAAGAGGTCTGCTGCTGCTGCTGCTGCTGCTGCTGCTGCTGCTGCTGCTGCTGCTGCTGGGGGGGGTGGTGGGGTGGTGCTGCTGCTGCTGCTGGGGTGGTGGTGCCACAGGCCCGGGGCATTTGCTGCTGGAGAGATTCAGGCCGTCGAAGAGGTCTGCTGCTGCTGCTGCTGCTGCTGCTGCTGCTGCTGCTGCTGCTGCTGGGGTGGTGCTGGTGCTGCTGCTGGGGTGGTGGTGCTGCTGCTGCTGCTGTTGGGGTGGTGGTGCCACAGACCCGGGGCATTTGCTGCTGGAGAGATTCAGGCCGTCGAAGAGGTCTGCTGCTGCTGCTGCTGCTGCT